CATGTTCGTTAAAAATTCGATAAATTACTTTAGTAAAACATATCATCCAGATTTGTTAAACGACGTATTTTAATTCAACCGACATAAGTAAAGTTTTCCCGTAAATTAATCTTTACACAAATACTTATGGGAAGATGTCGTTTGTATTTGAGAAAAAACCCCAGCATAAAGTAAACATGAAGTACTGCCTGAGGCAGTGTTGCCATTCCTATTTTTTACATTTCACTATTTTGAGGAATGGTGAATACGTTTTACTAGTTTGCTTTCCATTTCAGTACGATGTTTGTACGGTTTGTTTAACATTGACCTGACGTGGGTTGCTAAATGTCAACTTCAAAGATAAACTGTTCATTCTTTATAAATAAAAAAATGAATACCAAAAAACAGTGTTGGATTAAACCCATGCAAGACAAGGGTTTCCACAGTTTTGAAACTAATGTCTTTGGGCTAGATAGCACGCGCTAACATGCCCGATTCATTTACACATAATTACATGCGCACTAAAATAATATTTTCATATAAGTGTCCTGTAGAGTACAATAAGATGTCTAAATTTCATTCATGGGGTTTTCTACCTAGTTAAAAAGACTATAATCTTTTCAGAAAGTCGTTTGACAATAATTTCTGTTTTAAGTATTGGAAAATGGGAAAGCTTTATAGAGGGATAAATACTTATGCACATCTCCAGCCCAGATGTGCATAAAGCATTTGCCATGGCGAAACCTTTTCGAAAGATTGCTAATACGATAATGAAGATGACCTTTTTCATGGCAGAAATTCATATGGTAGCATGTTCCAAATACAGCATTATGTCATCAACACATTGATATATATAAGGTCAGTCTGTGGTTTATGTCACGTAAATTTTCATTTCATCAACATTCAGGTATCAAGGCAAAAAAGTGGCCGCAACTGCGGCGTTTATTTTGTTAAGGGTTGCATAATTGTCGTGTAGAGATTGGCTATTGTTAAATATGTAAATAATGTAAACCAAGAAACACCAGTATGTGAAATTGTTAATACAACATCTAATTTTGTTGTATTTTAAGAATAAAAATACGTAAATGAAGATAGAAAACGTTAACAGTTTTTTAAAGAGCTTCTTTAACAGTCTGTCCCCAAATACCTAACTGTTAGTGGTGGGTATTAGGGAATTTTATCTAAAATAGAAAGTTTGTCTTTAGAACCAATGAAAAATGAAGCAAAATTGGGCAAATGGCAATGGCATACCCAGCTCAAAATTTGGGAGGGCTAACCATTTGCAAAAATTTATTCAGGCCCACTCTCATTTTAGCTCCCTCTTCTAATTAGCAAAATACAATAAACCTTGTAGAGGGCTAAATGGTTGAAATACAGTATTTGATAAATAGTTTATTAAGTTCTACAATACCTGATGGCAATATGATAGATGATTCCTAATGTATAGAGCGCAATTTCTATGATTATTTCCAGCAATACTCCATAGCTGCACTTGCAATTTTGGTTTGATACAATAACATGACACACATACTTCTGGCACTAACACACTGGAATTGAACAAAATAAGTCGATGGATAAGTCAACAAGTTAAGTTAATTAAACTAGTTAAGTCAGTGGATAATGTTCCAATCATCCAATCCACTAAAGCCACTATTTTAGACCGTCAGGTATACATTAATTCATCCCACACCATCATTAGCAATACCTCTAAAATCAAGCCCCTTCCTCATGAAACTACGATTTCCCGTGAAGCAAAACTACAATTACTACTACGTAAATTAAAGAAGAAAAACTCTATTAGCGAAAGATTCTTTCAAGAAATGTTTTCCAGTGGTTCGCAACCAGCTTGATTATATGGTCTTTCTAAACTCCATAAACTACTTAACCTTAATGACACACCTCCCATAAGACCCATATAGTATCTTCAATTAACTCATATAACTACAATCTTGATAAAGACCTCAGTTCACTACTCCTACCCCTCATAACTAACTACCATTCTGCTAAAGATTCTTTCGCCTTTGTTGATTATTTTTTATTCTTTAACACAAACTCTCCACATAAATCTAAGTTTTTTTTATTTCTTATGAAGTTGAAAGCCTTTTTACGAGCATACCACTCAACGAAACCAAAGATATTCTATTAGTATAGACTTAATCTTTACTAACAACCCCACATTGAAAATGAACAAAACAGAACTGAAAAAACATTTTGACGTCACTACCGCCCAGACTAATTTCTTATTTGAAGGCAAATACTATAACCAAATTGACGGCGTAAACCTTAGCGCCCATATTAGCTGACATTTTTATTGGTTTTCAAAAACGAAACTGGTTAATTAAATTACTACAACAACAAGCATGGGCGTCGTGTTGGATAAACTTTTTCAAAGAACTGGTTGCTATTGGGATTTTGGACACAAGCAAAAAAATGCAAGTCGAATGTCTTAGGTTTTTACTTATTAATGTAATGAAACAAATTCTTAATGACATTAAAAGTCGTGGAACAGTGATTACGCTCGTAGGTCACGGTACCATACAGCCCACGGTATACCCAACCAGCTGTTCTTTTTGCCCAAGTCTTTCTATGCATCCGATTACAAAAAGATTTATCTTCATCAGGACATTCTAGAGGTTGAGCACCATATTAACCTACCAAATGACGAAGAATCACGCACATATCAAGAATACTTTGGCTATATATTTTTGAATAACTCGGCTATACTAGAACTGGAGGATCCACAGAACTAGAGAGAAAGCCTGGTAGTAATTCAGAGATTAATAAGGAGCTGAGTAGCTATTGAACTTTTTTTGTTGGAACATGAACTAAAATATTACAGAACAAAAACTTTTTGTCTCACGTTGCATACAATGTATGTTGAATCTTTTTTCAAGGAGGAGTAAAAAAAATTAACAACATGATTTCCTATGCAGACGTCACAGTGGATTGGAACTCCCCACAATACTAAGGCTTGGCTTACATTGAAAAAATATTTGATTCATAAACAAATGCTACGATCTTTTGAGAACTATCAATGAGTTTATATTGCTTAATAATTATAGATATTCTTGAGATCAATGATTTTATATTGCTAAATGTTTATAGATGGTTAGTAGAGTCCTGAGAAAGTCAACTTGAATTTAAAGGTGACGACTGCTAAGGAAGTCAAAACGTCAGTAAATATCAATAACTGTAATAACGTTAATGGTTTAAGCCCGGACGTATCGTTATATGTTTCTAGATGTAGATCGTCATGGTTAGTAGAGTCCTGAGAAAGTTAAGTTGACAAAAAAGATGAAGACTGCTAAAGAAGTCCAAACGTCAGTAAACATCAGTAACTGTACTAACGTAAATGGTTTGAGCCCGGGCGTACCGTTACATGTTGTTAGATGTAGATCGTTATGCTTAGTAGAGTCCTGATTCGATTTCGCAGGTTAAAGACGTGTTTGGCAGGTTGTTAGTATAGATGCAAAACAGTAATGGTAAAAGGATGGCTCCTTGGGGGACTCCGTGACTGATGGTTAGCGGGTCAGACAAGGTAGAACCAATGCGAAGGGTTTGGGTGTGGTGTGAAAGATAGCTTTCAAACCACTTAACGGTGGCAGGTGATGCGCCAACGGATGTTAATTTCTTTAATAATCGTTGGTGGTTTATACTATCAAATGCTTTTGAGCGATCTAACAAAATCAGAACAGTAATCTTTTTGTTGTTCATCACCTTTCTTTAAGAGAGGGATAACTTCGGCTGCCTTTTAAGCATCGGGGAATGTGCAGGTCACAAGGGAACAATTTATTATTTCTGTGAGTGGAGACATGTCTTTCTTTTCCTTTAGATGACATTGTACGATTTATAATTTTCCAGAGGGATCGTGGGTTATTCTTATTTTCTTGTACCTCTTGGAAGGTGTAACTTCTCTCTGCTTCAGTAGGAACCCGTTTGACGATGTTTCGTGAGGCTTTATATTTTTCCCAATCCAGCGCGTCACGTGTCTGGAGGAATCGACGATGGAGGCTGTTTCTGCTATCCATGAGTTGTTTAATATCTCTGAAAACGAAAAGACAAGGGCGGTTGCGTGCCCTAATTGTTCTTACGGGTGCATGGGGACCAGGGTTAATTGCAATACGTCGTTGAAGATATTGAGTTGAGCATTCACATCTGTAGTGTCAAATATTGACAATAAGCGGGTGGAGTTTGTTGCCAGATCACCAGAAAACATAGTCGGGCTATAGTTTTTATAACTACGTACTGATATATAGTATGGAGGAGGAATTGGGGCTTTCACTTTGAGTTCGACGAATACAGCCATGTGGTCACTGATTGAAAGATTTATGATGCCGTTTTTAAGCACGAGAGAGGTCGAAGAAACAAGAATAACGTCTGGTGCAGTTTCTGTAGTGGCAGTGATCCTTGTAGGCGATTTAATGAGTTGTCGAAGGTTCATTTCTGATGCAAAGTTATTTAGTGCTTTAAATTCGAGGCGGCTCTTTTTAAAAACATCACAGTTGAGGTCGCCAAGAATAACGATAGGTTTATTGAGGGCGATAGATTGAAGGTAAGTTGGTTTCAGGTCATCCTTGAAGCAGTTTAGTGGGCAATCTTGAGGTCTATACGTCACACATACCACGATCGATTTCAATTTCTTAAGTTGTGCTCTCAGCCATAGCTGGTGAAAATTGCTGTCGGAAATATAGGGGTAATCTTTCAGAACTTTCGTTTTAAGTTCCGTACGGACATAGGCACATACACCTCCTCCACGTTTGTGTAAACGGTCTAGTCTGAAGACTTTGTAGTCGTCTAGTTTTATTTCCCCAGAGGTCACGCTGGTATTTAATCATGTCCCTGATATGGTGACAATGTCATATTTCTCGCTTTTTACTAGTTCCCGAAGTTTGATTAAATGAGCACTATTGCGGAGCAATTGAATATTCAGGTGAAAAATTGTCAGTCTGGGGCATGTTGAAATGCTTCCGTCCAGATTTCTTGAAGTTGAGATTGATTTTGGTTTCCTTTCTGTTTGTTTACATTGTTCCGTTCAAGTGATCGAAGGTTATGCAAATTTGTGGATCTCTGTTGTTTATATAGCATCAGGTTTCGGCTTTGTAATACTGTAGAAATTCTGAAGATTTTGTTACGGTTTGATAGTCCAAAACGTCCTCCTCTGCTGCGTATGATATTTTGGTTTTTGAGAACACTATGAAGATAATCGGAGATCGGATATTTTGACCTCAGGTTTAACAACTCGTTTCTTGAATATCTTATTCTTCCAGTCGCATGGGAATTTCAATCCAAACATGGAATTTCTGTTTTCCTGGGTTTTTTTGGGTTTCAGGGCATGGATTCACCTTGATATCTATATGTGCCGTTAGGTCAACTAAGAAAGTACGTTCTAGGAGGGCTAGGGTAACATAGCCATGTATCGTTGACTTTGAAATCGGAGATGGAAGGTTCGTGCTGGATTCTCCTTTTAAATGCTTGATTGCTGTCTTGAAAGTCGTAGCATAATTTTGAGTAAAATATCTCCTTTGGCGTTGTGTTTGTTGAGGAAGACCAGTTTTGTTGTACCCAAAGGAGTCTTGATAGTAGTTAAAAATCATTATAAATCCACATTAAGTTTATAAAATAGCATTCGAATAAAATTTTGTAGAGCCACTTTGTGTGATAAGCTACCATCATGGCGCATGCATTCCAATTTTAACCAATTTAGGCCAACTGTTCCTTTTTCAGTCCCAGACACACTCGCCTCCACACACCTGTCCTTTGCATCACCTTTCCTAACATACAGACTGTCATGTTGCAATCTAATGGAATAAAAATAAATTACACCAACAGTAACTAAGATGACGCTCGCTGAGCGTTTCCTCGCTTTTCTGTGAGATCTTTGCAGATGCTCGATGCGTTCCTTAAAGAGTGAGTGTCAACCATCATGCATAGCGCACGTAAGCAGCCATTTTCGAAGCACATTAGCTAGATATTTTTCAATGCAGTTTCACCTCTTACTGTTTGTTTTGAATGATGTTACACCTTTAACGCGTTGCTAGGAAACAATATTCCTGTTTGCAACAACGCTTTCCAACAGGTTCACCCACTTTACAACAACCTATATTAATGTAGGTTGTAGGAAAAAGCACGATTCGCACAAATATAAGGTACATTTTTGAAAAATCCCCTTGTCGTTTGTAGAGGCGATAGAAACACCGCGAAATTTTTGTTTACACTCAATAACAAGCTTGGTAACTAGCTGACATGCATTAATCTGCACATTATTATTGTTACAGACTTCTAATTGCATCAAGTGTCGGCGATAAATATGAAAGACGTCAAATGTTCTTTTTATTTTGCTTTCGTTTCTTTATCTTGTTCAAATTCTTTGTTCGCACAAATATTGTTAGAATTTGAAGAATTGCTAAAGAGAAATGCTAATGAAGAGTTTCATAAACGTTTGAGTTAATGTTTACAATCTTAAAATAGTGTTAACTGTGCTATTATATAGAACAATTTGAAACTTTGGAAATCAGTTCTTCTACCAGGTATCTTAAGTAGAAGCAGTTTCGTTCATCTTTCTATTTGGGAACGAGTATTTAGATACGATGGCAGATGCGCATAAAAGTGGCGGTGATAATGATAAAATAGAACATAAAGCTATCTTGTTGTATTTAAAAGACGCTAAAATAAATTTACGTTATCATTCGCTAAAGGCCCTTATCGACAGTATCGACTTCCTTGAACGAGGATTTGTTGAACTTCTTAAATGCAATGACGAAGTGACAAATTCTGAGTCGAGAGAACTTATGAAAACAAATCTCAGTGGCATGGAGCATAAAGTTTGGAGTGCAATGGAAAAGTTAATTAATACATTCGAAAGTTTAAAAACTGGCTCAAAAAGCTTCGACGTTGCAAAGGAACAATTTCAAAAAGCCCGTGAAAAAGCAACTGAAGCCTTCAGCAGCATAGGCTCAAAATTGTGTGACAGAATATTTGCTGTAACAATCATGGTCGTGGCGCAAATTTTGGAAAGCTTTTATTACCCAGAGAAAGCCGACGACTTGTGTTTATTTTACGTGAAAAGGCTGCATGAAATGAATGACGTTCGTGAAATATTCTCTGCTCACATTAATGGAGGCTTTCGATCGAAATTCACAAAATTCAGACGAATTGAGAACATAAAATCAGTGATGTCTCTTAACTGTAAATTGTATCAGTTCATAGTAAAGATCAGAGGCAACCATTATCATACAGACAATTGGCCAACAATTCAACTTCGACAAGGAAAAGTGTTCAATCCAATTTTTCATAAAATTTTTACTACAACTTCTTCTGATAAAGAATTGACTTTTCACAAGAATTCAAAGTTCAGTGTAAACAGAGATGGTGACTTCGTTTTATGTAGCAGTCACAAAGATACGAAGACAAATGCTGAAACGGCTATCGCCAATTCATTTTATAAACAGAGGGAAAAAGCCGTTAAAGTTTCACTGGATGAGCCTGTTTCAGTGAGTGTGAATGAAGAACGTTCAATACACGTTCCAATGAGCGTTCCACCTTCGTTGGATTATTCTTTTTGTTAAAACGGAAAGAGTATACAGAGTATGTTCCGCGTAAACAAAGTACAGACAGTATTGAAAATTTGACAAGACTATAAAACTCTATAATATTCAGTGAGCATATTATAGAAAGTGTATAAACATGTGTCCTTCAGGCTATCACCATGATAAAATGGTGACTTCTGCACTTGGAACACAGGATCTACGGTACATATATATATATATATATTCGCTATTCTGCACGCTATTCTGCTACAAAGTTGAAATCAATATTAGCTTATTGTTACACATTCCTTGTTAACTCTATTCAATCTTTCACAATTGTAAATCAAGTTAAGTTAAAGTCATTCACAGGTATTCCTATTTGCCAGATGTACTAATAATAGATTATTCACCATATAGTAAAGTATAGTTCAGCCGTTCATGGTGTTTTCACTGTTATAAAGCGAATCATTTACTATACTTAAACATTGTACGCTATATAATTATACTGTCCATTTTCTTCATATCGCATGCAAAGAACGGCAGGACCACTTGGATGAGCTTTAAGTTCAAGGTGTCTTTCAGGAATTGAAAATATCAATGTTTTCTGCTTTTTAGTGTCATCATAAGTCCAAAAATCCCCTGATATACCCATAATTAGAAGTTTGTCAATACCAAAGTGAAATGTAAGATCGAAAATATCTATTTCAAGAAGTACAGATGAATTCAGAGAACCTTTCATTGAGTAAACGTATATTGACTTATTTCCAGCCAGTATGATTTTTTCTTTGCTAGTAAGACTCATTGCGTGAACTTCGGATTCTGGAATAAATTCCTTCTTTAATCTTCCGTTGCTGTTGAGAACAAAAACCTTTGATTTAGACTTTCGCAATACCACTAAATGATTGTTTACATTTTTCACACAGCAGTGAAAATCATTCTCTTCATAACAATTCCTAATTTGAACTTCATGTTTCATTACGAAGTCTTTGTCAAAAACTTGTAGAGAAACCAGTTGATAATCACTATTTTTCCGTATTATGTACAGTTTATCTTTTTTATTGAGCGAACAAGCCACGATTTTTTCAATACGTCCAGGAAAAATATGGTCGACTTCTTGACGATCTTTTTTTACAATCTTGGCGCTTTCATCTTTAAGAAATAAAAGCTCCCCATGACTGTTAACTTCCCACAATTCATAAGAAAACCAAGATTGTGGCATTAATTCATTAGGAGAAGGCAATGAATTTTCTCCCCATATATTTTCCGTGAAACTGATTCTGCCAACATATCCTACAAATTGATAAAGAAATCCATCATGCTCAGACGATGTCGGTGGACTAGAGATCTTATGCCACTCCAATATTGGATTGAACATTTTTCCGTTCTCAAGTTTGATGCATGGCCATGTCAAAGCATGATGATGACTTTTTCTAACAAATACAATAAATTGATACAAGACACAGTTGAGAAGCATCACTGACTTTATATTTTCCACTCGTCTGGATTTTGCAAATATTGTTCGCAAGCCATTAGAGACGTGAACAGAAAATATTGCGCAAACGTTTTGCCATTGATGCATTCTTTTTAAAAATGTTAAACATAAATCAACGGGTTTTTCTAGGTCATCAATGCATTCCAAAATTTGCGATACCACAGCAACCTTAACTGATGATACTCTGTCCTCCAGGCTTAAACCTTCGTTGGATAAAGCTTCCGTTGCTTTTTCACGGGATATCTTGAAACGATCTTTTGCGTCAACTAAGTAGTGCGACTCAGTCGGTGATTTTTGTAAAGTTTGAGTTAAATGCTTTATTGCCCACAATTTGTCATCTCCAGAGGACCAAGTAACGGAAGACACGTTATTAACTGTCTTTTCAAGGCATTTTTCGAGCAGTACCATTCCATGCTCCAAAAAGCAGCAACTAGTGTTAAGAGCTGTTTGTGAAAAATATTTGAGATTTCTTCTGATTTCATTTATATCTCTATCGATTATTCTTTTAAACATATCATCAGATACATCACCGTTTTCAAGATTGTCTGATATCTTGTCTCGAACAATATTCATTATGAAGCTGACGAATGAAATTGCTGTGTTTTTGTAAGCCATACTTGTAGATTGACAACTTACAGTAGTAGAATTTTCCATCTTACCTTTTAGTTTATCTTAAGTTTGATTTTTCTATTTATAAAAAAATATATTATATTTTCTTTGCACTTTGAACCGAGCATTGAAATAGACAATATAGTAACGCTTTTTTGCTTCACAGCACGCAAATTTGAAATATGTTTGGTATTCTCACAACTGAAATAAAACGTTTTCGGTTTTAATGGCTATATATATAGAAATCAGATAGAAAGTAATAAACAACGATCGACAATCAATTTGTGTTTTATTGCTTTCGATGTGATCACTTAATACATGAATATAGAAAAAATGTTCACAATTATGCAATAGAATCTTGTGATGTGGAATGTGCCTTTAGCGCAATTCGTTTAAGCGACACAGGGAAACGACACGGGGAAGCAGGTGTTGATAATCATTGTTTTTGGTTGGAATTTTTAAGTACAGACACGTAGTTAATGACGTCATTTTATACTGACGACGAACTTCATCAAATGTTGAGCAAAATCGACACGAGTTCACGACGCACAGTCTCTGAGTGCAGTCGTGAGATGTCAATGTCGGTATCGGGGGAGTCTATCACGTGACATGTAACGTTCGTGGATCTGAACAAAGACGTAATAGTGTTGATGGCTGAATTTGATATTAAAACGGTTCTTACGGATGAATATAGTTGAAATTTTATTGATCCATATTGGGAAAATGTTCTTGTTTACGAGTTTCTGCTCTAAGCAAGCAAGTCTGCTTTTAGGATATTCAGTTTGTGGCCGGGAACGAACGAAAGGTTTGATGTAGCTAATATGTTCACATTTAAAGTTTGTACAGTGCATTTAAAAATATTTTTAATTTATTTAAAAGGTAATGACTAACTTAAAAACGTAAAATTTTGATAAAAAAAAAACATGGCGTGGATTTAACTCTTGTATTTATTTCGGAAGATTTTTATTTCTCTGAAGTCGTGATTTTTCCACATTCAACAATTTTTGCACAAAGATTTAACCATTGTGTCCTTTTAGATCTTGGGTAGTTTAAGGTGGATGGAATCTGTTATCAAAACGTTGGCGGCATAGGAGCATTTTTTTAAAACAAGTTCGTGTCTTACAAATACGGAAAATTGATCCCAAACCTTCAATTCCACCCACTTCCCTTCCATCTTTCTCTTTTTCATGACACTTTCAAACTTAGTTCTACTTAAGTTGCTTTTCTGGCCCATCATAAGTCACTTGCCTCTCCTTTTCATAAATGGCCGTTCAGCACCCCTAACAGACTAATACAAACCCTAACCTTTCATTTTATAGACGCAGGCAATGACTGAAATACGGCGTATTTGTTCAACGTGGAATTATTTATTATCAAAATTTGCAATGTGTGGTATGATGGCCGCCATATTTTTGGCAACAAACCGTATACTAATAAACTATAGTATTTTGAATGATTATAGCTCCTTAATGGTTTAGCCCGTCAAGATCACTCGTGAATGAGATTCGACAGACCGCTGAATTTAAAAAAGTTTGCTGTCTTTTACTGTTGTTTGATTCTTACTTAAAAAGCACTAAGCATTGAATCAAACTCTTTGTAAAGTTTGTGCACTGGACGGTAAAATTCTCCTTATTTGACTAGAAATTATTGGATACAAAAAATATCAAGTTGTTTTTCCCATAATATCTCTAACCTGTATGTACTTTCCTATTAATGACATTGGTATTATATTGGACGTGACGATATTTGAACCTTAATTAACTTACTTGAGTAAGTCTACATTTTACTATGGACTAATGATAAAAATGTTCTATTTATGTTCTAATTTACTCTGTCTATCCCACAACAGGAGCGTAGAAAACTCGTTGATGAGGAAGGGGGGAGGGTACAAATTTATGAATGCATGTCTTAATCTATTGAAAACAATGGATTTCAAAAAGAATTTAATTCTGCAGAACATTCATGTATGAATACGTTCTCCCCCAATTATTGAGTTTGCTAAACAATTGCATTTTGGATGTAATATTTATGATCATTGTAACAATTTCAATGGTTGTAAAAAGACAAATTGTATTTCGACATGCCATAACAAATTACAGTCATCAAAGTTCTAGAGGAGCCGACATAAAATCAAGATGACAATCCATATTCTGACTGCTGTCCTCAAAGAGATTGCTGACCTCAAGGTCTATTAATTCAAGTCCATTTAGTTCATCTTGATTTGTTTCCTGGAATAAATTGGCATCATCAACTTGATTTGATTCCTCTGTCAGAAATTATAGAAATTAGTAAAAAGGTTTTTTATTTGTTTGAAAATGTAGTCGAGAACGGTATGCAGTGAGAGACAGCCAACTCGTGAAAGTCATAGTGGAATACATCGTAAACAAGCTTAAAGAAAAATGACAGAATCAAGCACAACCAGACTTGTCAAATGGATCACTTAGGGCAGGCCCTATGAACTGTGAGTAGGCCTGTTCATAGAAAGTCGATGGGAGGAGGGGAGGGTTATTCACATATTTAGTTGCGCCCAACTGATTTCTTTTTAAAGCAATTTACTGAAAGTGCCAATGCAACGAAAATTTTGTAAGTTAAATTATGTTTGCAATGACTAGAACCTTTGAATTTACAGTGTACTTTCTAAAACTGTAAATGCATATTCTCGTGATTTTGATGTTTTTGTTATTTCTAATTTATTTAATGTCATGGTTAGTAGAGTCTTGAGAAAGTCAAATTGACTTTGGACCATCAATAACTGTAATAACGTAAATGATTTGAACCCGGACGTATCGCTACATGTTTCTAGATGTAGATCGTCATGGTTAGTAGAGTCCTGAGAAAGTCAACTTGACGTTAAAGGTGACTACTACTAAGGAAGTCAAAACATCAGTCAACATCAATAACTGTAATAACGTAAATAGTTTGAACCCGGACGTATCGTTACATGTTTCTAGATGTAGATCGTCATGATTAGTACAGTCCTGAAAAAGTCAACTTGACTTTAAAATTGACGATTGCTAAGGAAATCAAAACCTCAGTCAACATCAATAACTGTAATAACGTAAATCGTTTGAACCCGGACGTATCGTTACATGTTTCTAGATGTAGATCGCCATTATTAGTACAGTCCTGAGAAAGTCAACTTGAATTTAAAGATGACGACTGCTAAAAAAGTCTAAACGTCAGTCAACATCAATAACTGTAATAATGTAAATGGTTTGAACCTGGGCGTATCGTTACATGTTTCTAGATGTAGATCGTCATTGTTAGTAGAGTCTTGAGAAAGTCAACTTAACATTAAAAGTGACTACTGCTAAGGAAGTCAAAACGTCAGTCAACATCAATAACTGTAATAACG